GAACCTTCAAGTAGCCTTGAGTAACTTATAATTATAATGAATTGTGTTGAAGCTATGTGTATTTTTATTGTGTGTAATTTCACGAGTATGTGATGACTACCTAATTACAGTCTGTAGTTCACAAAGTCATACTTTACAACGATGTTTCCTTGGTAGATATTTCACCAGTCTCTGGGATCAGAAATGCAGGAGAAATGGTCATTCCAGGACTTCAGAGATTTTTGTTGTTGACAACGTGAAACTTAGCGTTGCATTTCCCGACCAAACAAATTGCCTCTTTGTTTCCTGATTTTCCTCCCTCTTGTGGGGGGTCTGACAACACTTCAAATGCATTCACTAAACAGTACAAGGCTCAGGAGATGGTCTTGAGCATAAAGATGATGGTGCAGAGCCCCATTCTCCTTTGTCACCCCAGGGCCTGGGGCTGTGGTTCTGCCTTTTCCCACCTCCTAGAAACCCTTCCCCAGGTCTGCCGGTCTTTGAGCCTTTGTGCAGCAAGGACGTTAACCCCTGTTCTTGAAAGTGCAGACTTCTTGGGGTTCCCCCAGAGGATGGAGTCTCCACACACCAGGCAGTGTTTAAAGGAAACCACTGAAATAATTCCTTCAAGCCAATCTCAATCCATTCCTCAGGCAGAGGAACAAAAACAGCTGTTATTACTGAGGGCTTCCTCTGGTCCGTAAGGCTTTTTTTTTTAAGATTCTATTTATTTATTTTCAGAGAGGGAAGGGAGGGAGAGAGAGAGAGAAACATCAATGTGCGGTTGCTGGGGGTCATGGCCTGCAACCCAGGCATTTGCCCTGACTGAGAATCGAACCTGCAACACTTTGGTTCGCAGCCCGCGCTCAATCCACTGAGCTATGCCAGTCAGGGCTTGGTCCATAAGGCTTTTATCTGCACTTAGTTCACACAAAAACACGGTGAAGTGGTACCATCACCTCCATATACTCACACGGAAAACACCAGAGAGAGTAGACAAGGCCACTAAGTAAGATTTGACCTGCTTCAGAAGAATTCGTCATGAAACAAAACTCTGTTATTCGAGAATAAAACAGGAAAATAAAGTGTAAATTTTTCGACCTCTGTGAAATGCCCCTAGGGCTGCCCTATATCATCATGTTCTTCAAGTGCTCGGCTAAAGAACACATAGTAACAAAGGAAACCCTGTCGGTGCTGTCTTCAAACCGTGTCCTGAGTCTCACCACCTCCACAGCTACCCCCTTGGTCCAGACCGCCTCCGTCTCTCTCCTGGATCACCGCAGTAGCCTCCTAACTGGTCTCCGCGAGTCCGCCCTTGCTCTGCTTCAGGCTACTGGCAATGGAGCCACCAGAATGACCCTGTTACAGCCGAAATCAAACCGGTCCGCTTCTCTGATCAGAGCCTTCCAATGGCTCTTTTCTCTCTGAAAGGAAAAGCTGACGTTGTTACAATGACAATGACCTTGCCCACTCTGGCCCTCAAGTGCCTCTGCGACCTCATCCTCTCCTCATCTCCCCTGCTTTCTCTCCCACCGGTCCCACCACACTCCTGACTTGGCCTGGGCTCACCCGTCCCTCTGCCTGGACAGCCACATGGTTACTTTCCTTACCTCCTTTGAGTCTTTGTTCAAATGTCACCTACTCAATGAGACCTTCCCAGATCACCCAGTCATAACAACCCTCCCTCCATTCAAATCCCCAATTCCCCAATCTCCTTTACTCTCTTTACTTTTCTACCATCACACTTAAACCACCTTTTCATAGACTCGGTTTCCTTGTTCACTATGTTTATTGGCTGCTTCCTCCCGTTGTAACATGCAGGAGAGTGGGGTCTTCGTGATCTGTTTTGTTCATTGATGTATGATTGGACACTGGAATAGTGCCCGCCATGGAGTAGCTGCTCAGATACTTGGGAAATGAATAAATGAGTGCTAAGATTACATAAGTATTTCTCTTTGTGTTTCGCTCTTCCTTTACCTTCCCAGAATAGCCACGATGCCAGCCTTCTTGCAATCTGGGATCATTTAAAGAGCTATGCATTAAGAAATAGCCTAAAAAGTGTTTTTTTTAAAGATTTTTTATTCACTTTTAGAGAGGGAAGGGAGGGAGAGAGAGAGAGAGAGAGAGAGAGAGAGAGAGAGAGAGAGAGAGAGAGAGAGAGAGAAACATCAATGTGCGGTTGCTGGGGGTTATGGCCTACAACCCAAGCATGTACCCTGGCTGGGAATCGAACCTGTGACACTTTGGTTCGCAGCCCTCGCTCAATCCACTGAGCTACGCCAGCCAGGACCCCTAAAAAGTGGTTTTAAAAATTATAGCCATATTCTTCAGGGTTCTGACATGAATATTGAAATATCATGGCACCTTAAAAGATTCTATGCCTTCTAAATCCTCACAATAATTTGTCATATCAGGGACAAAACTAATTGAATTATCTTCTACTGTTGAATCAAGAATCGAACTGATCTGTTTTTCCTCATTTTGGTGTGCTATCATATATAAGCACAGCTTTGATTTTTGTGATGAACTTTTAAAAGCTTTATTAACTAGTCTATGTGACATTTCCCAGGCAGAACTGGCATGATTTCAGCATCTGTGGATTCACCAGTATCTGTTCCTCATTACATATTATTACTAAAGTATAATGAGTCCTTGTCTCTAGAGGAAGAATTTCCTTTAATGATATGAGATCCAGGAAATCTAATACTATTTGCTTTCTTTCAACAAATATTGAGCAAGTGGCTGCTATGACAGACTTATCACTAGACACAGAGGTCCCAGGGATGCACAATAACCAATCCTTGTCCCAGAAGCGTTCAGTCCAAGGGAGAAGACTAATAGGTAAATACCTAACAATTCTAAGATACACTAAGTGCTATAGCAAATGCATTGAAAAGTGTTGTGAAAACATGGAAGACAGAGTGGTTTAAAAAAAAATCCTGCTCTGGTCAGTGTGGCTCAGTTGGTTGGAGCATCACCCTTTAGACCAGAAGGTCACAGGTTCGATTCCTGGTCAGGGCACATGCCTAGGTTGTAGGTTCAGTCCCCAGTCAAGGCGTGTAGGAGAGGCAACTGATTGATGTTTCTCTCTCGAATCCATTTTTCTCTCCTTCTCTCTCTCAGCCTCTTCCCCTCTCTTTAAGATATATAAACATGTCCTCCAGTGAAGATTTAAAAAATTCCTATACTACCATTGCAGATCTTTGTACTTTTTTATTTTTATTTATTTTTAAAACGTTTTTTAAGATTTAATTTATTTATTTTTAGAGAGAGAGGGGAGAGAGAAAGAGAGAGAGAGAGAAACATCAATGTGCAGTTGCTGGGGGTCATGGCCTGCAACCCAGGCATGTGTCCTGACTGGGAATCAAACCTGCGACACTTTGGTTCACAGCCCGTGCTCAATCCACTGAGCTACACCAGCCAGGGCTTATTTTTATTTTTTTTAATGTTTATTAAGCTCTTACAAAGTTCTAGGCATTGTGCTTGTTCCTTGGCATGCAGACATGAGGGAGATGCCATCTTCTCAGAGGTGCTACTAATGATTATGTTATTCGTGCTGATCCTCCATGTGTGGCTGCAAACATTGATTCTTGAAATGCCACTTCTGAAAACAACCAGCTGTAACTGGCGGAACTTTAAGAGCACGCCTTTTCTGTGGTGTAGTTACTGGACACTTCACGGGCCAGGCTCAAGCCATTTCTGCTGAACAGCCTGGTCTCCGCTAATCACTGTATGCCTACGCCAGGTGGACTGGTGGCTGTGAGTTGCAGGAAATATTCCAACCAAAGAAAGCACCCAAGACTTGTACCTACTCTTGTTCATAATCTTTTCTTTGATTCTTGAATAATGTAACAAGGTTCGTATAAAGAGGCCAACTGCCTCACGAACACTTAAAACATTTGATGTTTTTAAGTATAAAAGTAAGAAAAACCAAGAAATACCTTCAGCCACCTTTTGTGAACATTTAAGCATTGAGAAATGGACTAAGGTTATCTATGGATTGAATGGCTCACCATTTCAAGTTAATGTACCAGCCAAAAGGTAAGTTGGCTTTGCATCAAAGTGTATTATGAAGTCTATGTACAATAATGTGAAGGTGTATTAATATACATTTATGTTAACAGATCTGAACATAAATTTGGTCTTATAGCCATTAGCATAGTTGAAAAATGACAATAATTAAATTAATAGCAAATACAGTACTTACTATACACTGGTTACTATTCACAGAGTAAGTAATTCAATCACCTAAATGATTCTATGACTTAACCGTGAGCACCCCATTTTATATGAGAGGAAAGGCCCGGCTAGGCTAGCTAGCCCGAAGTCACTGTTGATAAGTGGCAGAACCAGAATTCGGACCCATGTGATCGGGCTCCAGAGCGTGTTATATCACCACACGGGTAAGACAGGCAGATTAGCCATGTTCATCGTTAAACTCATATTTTAGCAGGCTCTGTTTGCATTAAGTGGATGTTTGCACTCAGAAATGAGTCAGAGGGGAAATGCTCAGCATGTAGAATCCTGGTTTGGAAAATTCTGACCTTTTAAATGTTTGTTATCTAGCATCCCAAAGCCTTAAAATAAATTTTTGTTGCTTGAGACAGAAGGAAAGAAAGAAAAAAAGAAAAAAAGAAGAAAGAAAGAAAGAGAAAGAAAGAAAGAGAGAAAGAAGGAAAGAAAGAGAGAAAGAAAGAAAGAACTTTCCAGAGAGACTTGGTCGTGCTTAACCAAAATATTACTAATGATGAAACAGAAAAACGTCATACAATTAATTACCGGTATACAATGCAAGACACGCCCCACTAATTATCTCTCTTAATGTGGGTGTCTGGCTGTGATACATTCACTTTGCAGGGCACAGAATTCAAGGTGCTGTTAGCCCCGTGCTCTTCCGGACCTGCAGCTTCAACAGTGAGTTGTGTCATTTTGAAGAAAACTGCTGAATATTTTATAGCAAGGTGACTTCACGAGTAAAAATCTTCAGGGAGATTTTATGTGATTTTTAAAAATCAACTTAGATGTTTGGAATTTGGATTGCTACATTCTTACTTTTTGGCACCTCGACAGGTAAGACTCGTAACTTATAATAAATTCCTTAAAAATGAGTATATATTCATATCCAAAATGTAATTGACATGGACTTTGAAATATGGGTTCTGTTTATATCTTGGTTCATTTGTCATAAAGTTATCTGAGGAAAATGCATCGATTTTGTAATACTGCATGAATCTGAAGAGCAATTGTGAAGCGTCTGTTTCCAATAATATCGAAGTTTCCAGGTAGTCTTGTGCTTGGCTCCCTGATCTGCCACTTACTGGCCTTGGTCAGGTAACTTACCTGCTGAAGTCTCTATTTCTTCACTTCCAGGATGGACATGGGACAGTAGATGAGAAAACGCCTATTTCTGATTTCAGTACCTGACTCACAGCAGATGCTCAATAAATGTTTGAATGAATGAATGAATGAATGAATGAATGACCAAAGTGGTTAAAGCTGATCGGAACTTCCACATTATTTTTTTTTCCATTTGTGTCATGATTTTTGAGAAGGGATATTGGTCTGTGGACATGTCTTGAGCATGAACTCAACATTCATTGACTTGTGTTCTGTGTGTTGTAGACTGCTTATGCATAGACTCTGTGCTAGTTATTGGTCTTGTTTGTTCTCACCACCCAAGTTCAGTATTGTACCTATCCTTTGCTGTATTGGCCATTAAGTTAGTGGTCCAATTTCAACTTGTTCATTTCATAGCAGACATTTTATTTTTTTCCTACGGGGCTTTCATACCTATGACGTTGATCAAGTTCCCTGCACACATCTAGTTTCTCCTAACTTTATGCCCTCTTTACGGTATTTCCTCATGGAAAATATCATGGTAACCAATAACCCTGGTAAGTTACAAACATAGAAAACATACGACATTAATAACAATCTTCATTTCAAAATCCAAACTCTCTCCCATAGACTGGATAGTGTAGTTGAGAACTTAGGGGTAGAGCCAGGGAATGAAAGAAATAAAGACAGCTGGACTTTCTAGGAAAAACTGAAGGTTGCATCAGAAAGGCAAAATCCAAATGTGAAATCACTGCTCCCAATTAGAGCTGGATATATGTACGCTTCAAAAGAAAAAACAGAATGGACTGCAGGCAGGAGATGCATTGGTGAGAAGCTGCGTGAGGGATACATTGAAGGAGGCACGTTTACACTTCCAACCAGAGAAAAACAAAGGCAACCAGAGAAACCAGGAAAACAAAAATGGCACAAGAAAGCCACGATTCAGATATGAAGCAAATTAAAATGGCACCGACCTTGAGCAATCCACACATAAGAAAAGATAATTCACGCAAATATCCTCCTTTGAAGGGATTGGAATCCGAGCAACGGACGTGCAGAGAAGGAAATGTAATTATAGCATGCTAAGTGGCTCCAGAAGGAAAAATATTTATCTAGTCATAATCGTACAAATTCTGTTTATTTATTCATGGAGTCAGCCTGCAGACAAAACATGGAAGACTTAATTATGACTACAGAACAAAGTCTGGGTTTTGTCAGTGTTGACAGTGTGAAAGCAGGTGCGGCTGGCACACCTGGGAAGGTGAAAGGGAGGGCAGGAGGGAGAGGCAGCTGCACTTTCAAGTTCATGTTGCAGAGGGAGGGAGTCAGGTCATAGGAACATGAGGTATGGATTACCTAAACTGAAGATTACTATTTAAGTTTGCAGTGGAAGTCAATAAGTGAGCTGAAAACAGTGTTATTGATCATGCAGGAGGAGGAGCTGAGACAGTGGAGAGCAGGACAGGCTGGCTGTGGAGCTCTTGTCCCTCAGCTTCAAGCCAGCTGCTGCTTTGCAAGCACTGCGACAGGGCGACCATTTCAGCCGTGGCCCCAGAGACACTGTCAATAAGGACCCTAGGGGGACTTGGATGCTCCTGTGGGAAGAAGGGAGATCTTCCTCCCCGTTTGCTCCTGGTTCCGGTCCGCATTTTCCCATCGATGGCTTTTCCCTCCAGCACAGCCATTCCAGTAGGAGGCGTTGGTTCCACCGCACAATTTCTCTGGTACTCCCTGAACCAGACTCACAATGCCCATTCAATGATGCCAGCCACAGCGAGCTAGCACCCCTCCTCAGGGGCCCAAACCCCAGTTCTAGAGAACCAGCACCCCCTCCCCCACCTACCAGCCCTGTCCTCAAGTTTCCGCATTTGAATAATTCAACCTCTTCCATGTCTTCGCCAGCCTTGGCACTTGTAGCTGCCCCCTGCAGTTACTCCCTCCTAGCTACTCACAGGGGCCCCCATTGTCTTCAGTTCTCCAAAGAGCCTGATTCATAACCATCGTTATATTAGACTCGCACAGTTAAAATAACTGGTGTGGATTCCGTGTCTTGCCCTGATTTGGACTGAATAGGTGGGTTAAGTCCTCATTCACTGTTGCAACAAGTTAATAGATCGTTGTGACTAACGCTGATCAATGAATTGCAACGTGGTTGTGTCAGCACATCATACAGACATGTGGGGACCACGGAGCTGCACGTGTGTTCAGTGGCTGGCTCTGGGAGGGGGGCTGGGTTGGGGGGGGCAGAGGAGGGTGCTCATCTGTACAGTTGTTTTCAATGCACAAGCATTTATTTGATTAAAAAACAATTTTAATTTTCTTTTCTTCCTCTTTACATTTATGTGGAATCTCATTCTTGAGAATGTGAGATCTCCTAAAATTAAGTTAAAAGTCAGTGGATTGGAGAGTTAAATGCTTATTTCGTATTTCTTATTAAGTGATAAAATCCTTAACTTCAAGTCTTCCACAGCTCTAACAAAAACTAACAAATACCATAAAGTAAATAGATTATAATAAATGTAATAAATAATCATAAATTGAATAAATAATTCAATCACAAAGTGGATAAATACTCATAATCATAATTGAATAAAATTGACCTATCCCTCCATAAAACAGCCTGAAATGAAGTTATTTGGTTTTGAGTATTAAATGAATGCAAACGAAAGGTCAGAGTGGCAGAATAAATCAGAGCCAGTGAATGACAGAAGTGACAAGGACCGAGTTTCCTCAAAGCCTCTCACTTCAGGGATGAGTAAGGTGAGCTCCAGAAAGAAGGAATTCGGCTAAAGCTGCATGGGACGAGACTTTGCTGTCATTTCTGCTCTCAAGAAACGTGCATTAGACATCTAGGCTCTGGGGACAGAGATCCCTTTGATGGAGCGCGTTCAGTCCAACAAGAAAAGGTAGAAGCTCAGCATCTCATTTTGCATTTCCAGCCCGATCACAAGGGCTTCCCGCGTTATAGGTCACTCAGCGCTCATGACGAGGCTGTAAGGGAAGTGGTATGACCCTCATTTTGCAGAGGAGGAAAATGAGACTCAGAACGAGATTGAATAATCACCCAAAACCAGGAGTGTCTGATTCCAAAGCCCATGCTCTCTCATCTGCCGCATTGCGATCCCCAAGGTCACGGTCATAAATGGGGAGGAGGGAGCATTTTTTAAAGAGACGCACCCTGCAACAGACTTGTTTCACTGAAAGACCGATTTCAATTAACCTTCAGACTGGGAAACACAGCCCCTCTGTGGGCCTGGTTCCCACTCCACTGACACCCCATGTTCTTGTTGCAGGAAGAGAAGTTTGCTATGAGAGGGTGGGGTGCTTTAAAGATGGCCTACCATGGACCGGGACTCTGTCGAGGCAGTTTGCGGGCCTGCCCTGGTCTCCCGAGGAGATCAACACCCGCTTCCTGCTCTACACGAGACACAACCCCAGCACCTCCCAGGTAACCTAGCTCGCTGCCTTCACCATAGATTATTCTAGAATGAAAGCTGTGGCCACGGACATAGACAATAGGTGTGGTAACCTGTTCTGGTATAAACTATTGATTTCAAGGCAAGTACACAATTTCTTTTTACAATTGTGAGCCAGATTTTCTTTTCATATTATTTATCCTAGTATTTAAATATGGCAACGTCTCTGAATATGTTTCCTACGAGGTAAATCTGGTATTTTGCCCAGTGAATACGCCGAGAGCCTTCCACAGGTGAGACTGGGGATTCAGCCACCGTACCTGTTCTGTGCTCGTACTGAATTGGATAAGCAAGACCCTGCCTTAAGTGGATTGTATCAGGGGAACAGGGAATACAAACAAATACGTTTATTGCAACCCGAATTATGGTCTGCAATCTAAGCTCACAGTGAGGAGGGGCTTCCCTTCCCTTGGGGGGTGGAGATGGTGACCGGGAAAGGCTTTGAAGGGGACACGCGTTGGAGGCGTGTCCTGAGGATGGGCTCGGTCCTTATATGAAGACGCAGACAGGGAGAGGACAGAGAAGGTGACATGGACAAATGCTGGGTTGGACTGGGGACAGAAAGGAAGTCCTCAAAGGCAGAGTTAGTTAGCAAAGCAGATAGAAACGAATCACGTAACTGCCTCCCGTGGAGTTTTGATTTCACCCTTGGAGCCATGAGGCCCCGCTGAGAGTTTTTGAAGAGGCCGTAGGACAGTTACCCCGGCTGAGTGGAGTGCACCCTCTGAAAGCCTGGAGGTGACAGCCGGACCCCTCGGTGCTGTGCTGTCCAACCCAGTAGCCACTGGCTGCGTGCGGTTATCAAAATTAAATTAAATTAAAAATTCAGTTCATCAGCTACGCCACAGGATTTTAGTCACTAGTTTATGTGTGCCATGAGATGAAAAAAGTTGAAAACCGCTGTGCGACAGCACCACATTTTCAGTTTTTAGTAGCCACGCGTGGCTGGTGGCGGCCGAGTCAGTCGGTGCACACACAGTGTGTCCGCGATCACGGGGCGCCCTACTGCACGGCCTGAGTGGAATGCTGTAGTGCGGTGGGTCGGGCACGGGGCGCGAGCCCGAACCAGTGTCCCGACTGCTCGTGTGATGGCAGACAGCTGACACGATCGACATCATAAACTGCCCTGGGACTTCACATACAAGTGATCGGGAGACTAATGACCCTCTCGTCAGACTATTCGGGGGTGAAAGAGAATGAGTCACATTTCGGGCAGGTGAGGTTTGGTCAGGCTTTTGGAGATTTTAGTCTTACAGCTTAGGGGCCAGCACAGAGCTGGAGAAAGGGATTCACAGCCTTTTACCCAGAGGTGGAAGTTGAAACCCCAAAAACACTTGCAGTCTCGGGGCAGAGAGAAAGCAGGAGAGCAGGCCCAGTGGGGCGTCTGTATTTAGGGAGCAGGCGGGAAAGGGGGGCAGAGACGGAGCACTCCTCACAGCGAGACCGTTTTCAGCCTCTGCCTGCGTCTGTCACCCTGAGGCTTGCTTCCCACCGGACCTGGCGCACGCAAGGCTGCACTTCATACGACATAATCCACTTTGTAGCCGTCTGCTTCCCAGACACACACGTGCCACCTGCACTGAAATATGCCACCTGCTCTGTAGGTGACAACTCTATTGACGACAAAGAAGAGTCCTCATTGTGAGTACAGAGAAACTTATAAAGAAAATGTTATCAAAAGTTCAATTTTTTATATTACTCAGTTTTAAAAAGAAATGAAGTTCTGTCAGAGGCTATACCATGGAGACCCCTTGTAAACATTTTGCTAAATTAAATAAACCAGACACAAAGGGACAGATGCTGTAGGACTCCAGTGTGATGGGGTTCCTCGAATGACCGAATTCGCAGACACAGAAAGTAGGAGGGTAATCCCTAGAGGTGAGGGGCAGAGTGCCGTGGGGTTAGTGTTTAACGACACAGAACTTCACTCTGGGATGATGGGCAGGTTCTGGAGAGGGATGGAGGTCATGGTCATGCAACATGGGGACTGATTTATGCTACTGAAGCGCACGTGTAAAAATGGTTTGCGCGGTAACTTTTGGGGAGTGGAAAAATACAATAGTTTTTTTTAACTTTTATGTTATATATATTTGACCATAATTTCTAAATGATGGAGAATCTACACTGAATACAAATGTTTGGAGTGCCTTTGTTGGTTTAGTGTCCATCCAGGACCAACTGTATCTCCTGCTCTTGACCCTCGGTCCTCATAGGACTCACTGGTCCCTCATGCTTCTTCTGCACAGTGGTCATGCACTTGAACCCTGTAGAGCACAGGCACTGACACAGAAGTTGATGTAGACTAGTCTTAAGGTGAGGCCGGGCCCTCAAGGCAATGCATTTCTCGGGTCTGCCCCACTCCTTCCCGTTGGAAGGAACCGCGCGTGACAACCTGGATTTGACCTGAGTCTTGCGGCGGATACAAGCCTGCGGGTTTGTTGCTACAGTGGGTTTTTTTGTTTAAAATGACAAAATAACTTTAATTAATAATTCAAACATTCTTAACATATGTAAAGTAATTTAATTACACTCTCATTTGGAGCATTCTTAAACTGTCTTTAGATGACTAGGGCCAAATAAAGGTCCTTCTGTAGGGTCCTTGTCAACCTTGAGAGACTAGATCACAAGAGGTCGAGTCTTACCAAAGTTAATACACTTTCATTTTTATCATGGGAAAGTTGCCCATTAAGCACTGAGAGCATACAGGTGTGATTCTGTTACAGCGTTTTTTAACAACAGCTAGGACGTAGGAGGGACTCAGGGTGTTATACTAAAACACAAAAAGGATTGCCCTAGGCTTGGCCCAAACACTGTGCAGTACGACTTTGATTGTCTCTGTTTGTGAGAAAGTGGGAGTGGACATGCAAAGACCTAACAGCCTCTTTTCCCAGAGGGAGCAATTGTCGGGGGACGTGGTGCAATGCACTTGGTCTTCTGAAAGTCAGAGGTCTTCACAGGCCCCTCCTGCAAGGATAAAATGACCCACTTCCCCCTTGAAGCCACGGCCCTTTCCCCCAGAGTGGCTGGCGCAGACGCTAGGGGTGACGCACCTTTTGCACAATGATGGAGGTTTCTGTGCCTGTAGCCACTGTCCAGGTGGGAACATACCCGAGTGGTGACTGTTTTTGACGTGCTGGAAATGAGGTCACCTGTGAAGTAGTCAGCAGTTGCAGAACGGGGCGATTTCATGCCCACTAGCCTCCGCAACGCCTCCGCGATGAGAACTTTCGGGGGGGAAAGGCCCGAGGGCCCTGCTAACCATCGATGCTTCGAGTAGCCCTTTCTCTGGGTAGCCTGTGCTGTTCTGACAGCGTTTGTAGTTTCCCTCCTCGGGGCAGCAGAATCCCAGTGGCCTCGTTTCCATCCCACGATGTGGGGTGTTTCCCACCGTCCGGGTCAGCATGCCATCTTACGGGGGTGTCACAGACGGATTGGAAAGTGAATGACACATTTTCCTGCCTCCCTCCTTTACTAAATTCCTCAGTGGCTCTTGTGACAGCGGGGGTGCTCCGATCCCGCAATATTCGTCTGACTGCCACTTGCTTGGGATTCCCTTTCTTCCTACTGTCCTCTTGACAGGGAAAGACTAGACACATTTTTCTACTAAATTCCTCCCCGAAATAGGTTTTTTTGGTTGTGGAAACAGGAATATAGTAGGTGTTTAGGGGGCTGCCGCTGGCACTGAAATGGACATCTGGGTTCTTCTGCACACGTGGATGGACAAGTGTTTTGCCCTTGGATTCCATTACTTAGTAGATACACGCTTCCGGCAGAGCCCGCATACAGTTGACTTTATTACCTGCCTCAGCAGATCCCACATCTGGTCTGGGCCCATCAGTAGGGAAGACTGTGACCCATCACAGCTTGAGAGCCCGGTGGCCGGGTACATGTTTGAACCCCGCTCAGCACTCGTTAGCTACAGCATTTGGGGGCAAATGCCTTGGCGTCTGTCGTTGTGCCCCTTCCTGGTCTGTTAGATGGGCACCTACCTCGCTGTGCTGCGAAGGTTAAATGGGCCCCCCTATAACGTCCTTCAAACAATTCCTGACTCACAGGCTGACAGAGTGTCGGCTCTATTGTAATTACCACGTGAACCAACTTCTGATTCTTATAATTTGTTTAAGGTCTTGGAGACACTTTAACCAGCAAGTTGTATGATTAATGCCGTAACACCATTAACAGCTAGTGATAGGCTGTTTGTTTAAATCCCGTAGGTGTCTACACTTGCGGCTTCTCAGTGATAGGATTCACTGTTGTCGGACTTGCTATCTGCTAATTATTCTTTTTTGTCTTAGACAATTTCTTGTCCTTGTGCCTTTTAATCTTCCTCTTAATGACAAAACCATAGTACTGCAAAGTCTTTTGAGAGTTTGGTTATAAAACCAAGGCCACAAAATATAAGAAATACAGGAGAATATTTAATGCAATCACATAAAATTGTCTTTAATATGCTGCTGTCTTTCATGTGGTAAGATTCTAACCTGTATTCCTTACTCATAAAGTGAGGTGTCCAGTCGACTTTGTTGCCACCCTAGTAACGTGCTTCTAAGTCTAAATTAAGACAATTCCCGTTAACTGCATTGGCACGTGAGAAGTACTGCACAAATCAGGGCTTACTGAAGTTCTGACTGAAACCGACCCAACTTTAAAACATTGCCTCAGAACCAAACTTGTTATTTCCTTTCCTCATGATTAAATTTGTATGTTGCATTTTATAATATATTAAAACCTTTTTTGCACTTTTGCAATATGCATTGGTGACTATTTCTTTGGTAAAAATGTATGAAAGGAGGTTGCTCAAAATTAAATGTAGTGGAATATTTTTAGCAGATTTAGAATGATGCTACTAAATATTAAATAACTGAATTGTGGTTTCACCTTCATCTCTTTTCACTTGGAACAGGAGATCAGTGCAGTTAATTATCTGACTATCCGAGACTCACACTTCAGCACAGACAAGACGACTCACATCAACATACCTGGCTGGAAGTCAGACGGAAAATGGCAGCAAGACATGTGCAACGTATGATGGGAACAAACTCTTCTTTAGTCGGAAAGTTTGTGTTTAACGTGAACACACCGTGCAGGGCGTCGGTGCCTATTAGTGAATCCCCCATTCGGTTACTCATGCCGTCCGTGTTCCAAAGCCTGAAGTGAATTACCCATTCCCCACATATTTTCACTTGTTATGAATTGCCTAAGTTATACTGGGAGCATATTTCTAAATTACTACTTGATCATTCTCACCTTTCACACACACAAGAGAAGAGTGGTAGGATCAATTGCTCGTTTAAGGGAAAAAAATGTCTAAGTTCACTTCAAGAAATTAAGTTTCCTCTCTTACACTGGCGATTCAATACAGGCTAACGTAGCGAGCAGTCACTTACGAGGCCCCGTAGGATGGTAGAGTCGGGTTGTCTGAATTCATACCGTGGGTCTGCGTACTGGCTCTGTGATCCCGGGCAAGTTCATGAGCCTCGCTGTGCCTCAGTTTCCTTACCTCTAAGTGAGGGTTGCGTAAGTTCCCATATGTAAAAGGGTTAGGGCAGGGCCGAGTGTGTAGGAGGCGCTGCTGCCCGTGTTATTTCTTACTCTCGAGTCAATTATTCAGGCACTTTGGTTTCCTTTCATCCTCGTTTCTTTACCGCTTGTACCAACCCCTTGCACCAGGTGCTGCTGGAAGTGGAAGATGCGAACTGCATTAACGTAGACTGGATTAACGGCTCCCTGGAATACCTCCACGCTGTAAACAATCTCCGCGTCGCAGGAGCCGAGGTGGCCTATTTTATTGATGTTCTCGTGGTAAGGAGAGTTATTATTTTGAAATTATATTTAACTGGTTTTGCATCATAACACCAAGAATTTGGGGCAAGTTGATGTTCTTTTTATTAGCTTACACAAGTACTGAACGTGTGGAATAGTGAGCATTCGTGCGTGGGAGCCAGAAAAGGGAAGTAACTTCTTGTGCAAGTGCCTGCAGTTGTACAAAGCGCCACATGGTGGCAGTGTTCCTTCACGGGCTTCTCACCAAAGGCTTTCCCTGGCCTTCCCTCGCTTCAAGGTCATTACCTTGATCAGCCTGTAGGACCATCGCTGTTAGTTTTCATCACATTGTAAACCTATCCTTCATGATGATTAACTATTTCCAGCTTATGAATGCTTCTTGCTGAGAACGTGAAGTGCGTTTTCTTATAGAAACAGGGTTCCATGGCAGCGAATTAGGTCTGTACGCAAGTCCAGACACAAACTCTTTAACTATACACTTTACATACACATATAAATGATAAAATAGATTTTGCTATTTATAAGGGATATACCAGGAGACACTTATACATTTCCAAATGCCTCTACCCTTATAGAAAGTAATTTCCTACCATAAAATGCAGCCAAGTAAAATCCAAAGATTTGTGACCCTTTCAGATTTTTAAGAGGGTTCACGCATTTATCCAACAAATATTTTACCTATGCCTTCTGTGAGCCGGGCACTGATCTGGGCACTGAAGGCACACGGTGAATGGGACAGCGTGTCTGCTCCGACAGCATGTAGGCACCGTGCTAGGAGCAAATCCACGGCAATGGGACAAAAGTGGCCTGATTGGCAGCTTAGAGGGGAGGCCAGAGACAGCGATGCTGGAACACGGAGCACAGTCAGGAAGCAGCCTGGAGAAGAATCAGGGAGCCCAGTGCTCCTCTCTTTCCCCACTCATCTCTCTTCCCCCCCCACCACGTATCCACCTGCCCTCACACATCTCTCTCTGCCCCCACAGTCTCCCTCTACCCCCACCTGTCAGGGGAGAGTGGGTCCTAAGGAGGCAGTTAGAGCGGGTCTTTGTACACAAAGAATGCAATCGGATTAATCTCCTCTTCAGAGAACCACCAGCCATAAGTTCTTGTGAGCTTCTACATTGACCCTGGGGTCTTCATTAGTCCATGGTCCCCTCTAGGCCCCGTGTCGTCTGAGACGTTTGCGAGAGCCACCTTAAACTGAAGGAAGCAGCCACAGGCGAGGTGGCTAACCGCACGGGTGTAAGTGGCCTTTGACCTGTGCTGGGCCGTGCTGGAAGGATCGGGTCTCCGGAAGGACGGGCGTGGGCTGGAAGCCACAGACGCTGTCCCTGGGCTGTTGTCGCGCACCCAAGGACCATGAGGTCCCTTAGCACAGCGGGAGGGCCTCTGATGGAAGGCGTTCCTCCAGGCCTGCCTGACGCGCCGTCCTTCCACCAGACAAGGACATGGGTGGACGTGTGGGGGTCACTTTGTCACTTTGCCAGTCGTCATCCTGTATGTGAGAGGGGGAAACATGCCAGCTCCTTTCTTGTTTTAAGCATATTTAAGCCATTCTGCCCGCTCTTTTAAAAATATTTGTTCTGTTTTGTTTTGTTTTTTAAACCATCAGAAACAGTTTGGATATTCCCCTTCTAAAGTGCACTTGATCGGCCACAGCTTGGGAGCTCATCTGGCAGGGGAAGCTGGGTCAAGGACGCCGGGCCTTGGAAGAATAACCGGTGAGTTGGGCCTTGAATTTGTGTGCCTGCTTTTTCACACACAAAATTAAGTATCTGAACACCAAATGGAGCACCAGCAGCAAGTATAAAATACGAAGGAATGTGACTCACGTAAACCCAAAGACGAACGCGCTTTCAGAGCTTGAGTGTGCAGATCCACGTTCAAGGGCATTCATCTGCCGCAGCATTGTCTGTGGTGGCGAAGTAATGGAAACCAGGTGATGGGCCACCTGTAGCGGGCGATTGAAAGAATTATGACACACCCCGGGCTTTGCAGTTCCATTCCTGCAGATACAGAGAAAGAGGGAGGACCCCACCGACGGCGCCAGAGGGGTGTCGGTGACGCACCTGGCTCATAGCTCTCTCAGGGTACACCGGCAGTATGGAACTGTGTTTGAGGCCGGTGCCCAGGTTGTTCCTGCTGCCACAAGGTTTAACATTACCCCTGGGTATGCCGTTCAGTCTAAAAAGAAGTTGCAAAGTAAAACCTATACTATGAATTAGGCTTCATAGGCTTTTTGAGAATGATAATTAATCCACCCCTTCCCTGCATTCTGACTTCCAAGACAATTGAGTCAGATGGATGGAGATCAAAGCATCAGCTCCGTCATGGACCAGCTGGGCTGGCCCCTCCCTCCCCTGCATCCCCCACCGACAGTTAGCCCGCAAGTCCCATGTCTCCTTCCCCGCCCTGTCTGTGCCTCCCCAGGCCCTGGCCACTGTCCTGGGCCTCCTCTGTCTCTCGCCTGGGTGTCGGCCGTCATGGCTGGCGCCCCGGCCCCGTCTTCCCGAGAACTGCCAGGGCTGTCATCTCTCCAAACACGGGCAGGGTCCCTCCACTGCCCGAGACTTCTTCCCATTGCCTAGGGCTTCTTAGCTTGTCCTACCACATTTCACGTTTCCTTGTGTTGTTTTCCTATTTCTGTGCCTCTTCCCATGCTCTTCACCCTCACCCTAAACGTCTGCTGTTTGTCCTCCTAGATCCGATCAAACGTGTCCCCCTCAGGCATGGTTCATTCTCCGAGCTTCCCAGACTCCCTGCACTGTGCCTCTGTTACACTCGCAAATACAAATATTGTATCGCATGGTCCTATCATCCTCATGTGCCTCCTTCACTCCGCCCCCACCCCAGGCCTGGCATGTAGTGGGTGTACACACATATGCTTCAAATTCAAATTTCAGTTAAAAATATTTTTTATAGAAAGAGTGAAGAATTTCAAGCTGGATTCAAAATATTTTGCCTCTGCAATCTCTTGCTATAACAGGGTTTCCTGCCGAAGGCTTCCTCGCTTCCCCGCTCTCTGATCCCAGCTTCCACCCCAGCCCATCACCGCCACTCCTACTTAGGATAATGAAATGGTGTCTTTATTCTGAAGTCACTTCCCCTCTTCTCCAAGTTTTCAAGGCCAGGGGCAAGAGGAACATACCATTTCTGAAGGCAGACCCTCATGGGGCCTACGCAGCCGGTAGGGCACTTAAACCATAAATTAAAGGGGAAGAACGTTGCCCTACGTGCATTAAAAATTCACACCGGGTTACAATAAATTCATGAAGATTTGTCTCTCTTAATTCTTATTTCAAAAATCAGATACCATGTAACTCCCATTTTTTCCTGCCAAGTGAATGATCTTGTTGAGTAAATAGAAAACAAGAATTTTGTAAAGTCTCCCTGAACAGCCGAAGAATTTACAGAATTTGGATGTTGCCATCTATATTCTAAGTGGTTATATTTTGCAAAAATCATGTTCCTTGAGAAACAGAAGAACTGAGACCTCCAGAAAGATCTTAACTTTATAATGAAACTAGTTAAGAACAACATTGGTATGATAGGTTTTAAGACATGGGTAAGTTTCTATGTCTATGGTAATTATCTGTACCTGGCGGGGAATTATCATGGATGACTATAAATGAGGATAGCCTGGGGGCTGCTCAGCTGATTCAAGCTTCTTTTTTAGTCTGTAAAGAGCACCCGTGTTTTCCCTCGTTGGGAGGAGATCCATCCCTCTCTGCTGACACACCCACCCATGCGCTCGAATCCATACACGCTAATAAACCCAGGTCCGGAATGGTTACTCTCTAGCCCCTGACACATAGTAAGTTCTTCGGAAATAACTGCTGAGTGTATTGATGAGGGCACGTGTGGACGGAGACCTCACCTGCATTTCACGAGACATTGGATAGGAGACAGTGGGCTGGGCATCTGCACTCCTGGGCTCTTGGTCCCTTTTGCCTCTAACACTTGGTGACCTTGCCGAGTCACCTCACCTCCCTGGGCTTCGGGCTTCTCACTCTTCTCATATAATGGAGCGGGAGCCAGTGAGCCTGAGCTGAGGACCAAGATTAGATTTTTAACTATCACTTTCACTGTGTTGCTTTGTAGATTCATCTCTGCATTCTGAAGAGCTCCGATGTTTTATTTTTATTTATTTATTTATTTATTTATCTTGCATGCGGATGCTGCTCTTAAGGTCATCTCCAACCTTAAGCTTAATTATCCACATGGCATTCCATGTACAGACCTAGAAAAGCCACTTTGATTTTTCTGACTTGGTTAGCTGTTTGGCAATGTCTAGACCCACATTCTTACTCGTGTATGGGATCTGCCATTGCAATATACACAGACCCTGCATTTATACGAGGTCTCTCCAGAGGGTATCCAGCCATGGAATATGAAAAATAGAGACATTCAGTGAAGAAGATACAAGACACAAGAAACATTGTACATAGGACAATGATACCTCAGTCCCCTTCAAAGTAGGCACTTGGAACCTCACACAGTTCTCCAGTCCCCATCAGCTGCTCCATCATATTTTCCTGAATCTCATCAATGGTGTGAAATCTCTTCCCTTTCAAAGGTGATTTTAGTTTTGGGAAGTTACAGGGCACCAAATATGGTCTGTAGGGGGGCTGAGTCACCTGGGTGATTTGATGTTTTGCCAAAAAACTCTGCATGAGACATAATGCATGAGTGGGCATGTTGTCGTGATGAAGCTGCCAGTCACCAGTTGTCCATAGTTGCGGTCTTCTGAATCATCCATAGCTTCTGCAGAGGAATGTTCAAGCCTAACACAAAATTGGATGCAGATTCGCTGCTCTACTCACTCAGTCATTTTGAATGCGACAGCCACACAGTACACGTGCTCAGTCAACAGCGTCTACCACCCCCACTAACAAGTACAGTGAAGTCGTCATGGTTCACGCATGTGCATCCCAATCCACTCTCCTTGGCCGTCAGGTTACAATGATGTCATGCAAACTGTCCTGGTTATATTACTAATGGCTGGACTTCTTCCGGGCAGACCTCGTATACTCAGTTTATGCTGGTGTACTTCGTCCTGGGTGGTGTTTGACCTATGCAAAGCATGCAGAAAAGAGTGCCCTGCCTTCACCGTCTACCCTTCCCTAATAGCAACACCATCAGTGTTCTCTAGAGTAGAACGTGACTCGGTTTAACAGGTGCCATGCTTCTTCCTAGGGCTGGACCCGGCCGGGCCGTACTTCCACAACACTCCCAACGAGGTCAGACTGGACCCCTCGGACGCCAGCCTCGTCGATGTGATTCACACCAACGCGGTTCGCTTCTTCTTTGAGTTTGGTGAGTTGTTAGCACGGACGGAAACTACACTGACGCACAGGGGAGGATTTCTGAAGCATTCGTCCTGCCTTTCCTGTGTTTCAGGCGCCGGCACTATTAACGCTTGTGGACACCTTGACTTTTACCCAAACGGAGGGAAATACATGCCAGGATGTGACGACTTAATTACACCTTTATTTACATTTAATCTCGATGCTTACAAGACAGGTAAATACTTTCTAAAATGTGAAGGCTGCTGTTACACATTCACTCAGCTCCCTCCCTGGACAGGATCAGCATCCTTTTGTGTATAATGTAGCATAATAGAATATAAAAATACAATTTAGCCCAAAATAGAATCCCATTCTTGGAGCGCCCCCTAGTTGTGAGATCTGCAAGGTCAGCGTTCCTGTCTCGTTACCTTTGTGTCCTCAGGGCCTAACAGCATGTCCAGCATATTGTAGTCACTCAGTGTAAACAAGGAGGGTTCCTTCATTCAACAACTATGTGTTGAGTGCTTACTAGGTGCCAGGCATTATTCTAGGAACAGCAGGTGTAGGGATGAAAGAAAGAGACAAAAATCTTTGTCTGACGAAGCTAATATTCTAACTTGCTAGAAACACAGTCACGGAATAAATGCCAAGGAAACAAAATAAAGCCTGGAATGGGGCAGTGATGTGTTGCCGAGAGTAGGGCAAGGCGGGGAAAGGAGACTTTTGATAGGGTGGCCAGGGAGTCCTTGCTGGAAAGGCGACCTAAAGGAGTTAGCCTAGTGGACACCTGGGGGGAAAGCGTTGCAGGCTGAGGGGTGGCGATAGCAAGTGCAAAGGGCCTGGGGCAGGAGCCTGTCTGGGAGGGTCATGGCTGTGAGGAGCCCGCTGTGGCTGGAGCAAAGTGACAAAGAGGAGAGTTGCAGGGCACGAGGTTCGAAAAGATGCAGTGACGGAGGGAGACAGCACGAGGCCCTCGGGATGCTAGAGAAGGCCTCAGCTTGCACTCCAGGGGCCGGGGGCACGGGGGACTGTGAGCAGAAGCGGGGAGTGTTCCACTTACTAGTTAATAGAATCGTACCGGATCACACATTAAGTTAATCATAAATGAAACAAATAATAGTTAACCTTTTATAGTGGTTTCCAATAATAATAATTATTATTATTGTTATAATTATTATTATAATTATTATAGTAATATCCCTATAGGGCATTTAGTTTAAAGGCACCAAAAGGTTATTATTTGGGAATTCCATTCATCCCCATCTCTCTGTATCATCATCATGTAATAAACTTTATTACATATAACATATCATGATATATAATAATATATGATGATGTGATCATAAATATCTGGAGATGCTAAATATCTCACCACATAATCCCGTGTAGCCAGAATATCTAGAAGACATAATTGTTTGATCTTCTGTTTGGCTGATGCAGACGAAAGGTACACAAACCATTGAGAGGAGCTCAAATTTCTTCTTCACTAGAGAAGAATTACAAAAGTTCTAATATCTGTTCTCAGAGATGAAATGTGATTCAAAGCATCCACTTTCAATGACTACTTAAAAAAATCAGAATGTAGGGATACTCAAAATCAGAATTAAAGCCAGCCCCATCTATACTGATAAGCAATATTTGTTCAAAAAAGTCCTATATAAAACTTGCTTCTCATGTTTTCCACATTATGACTTGAAATCCTTCCTATTAGGATAAAATATAGGTCATAAGACTCCTTTATATAACTATAGTAAGTGTTACACACAGAGCATTTGAGATTCTGAGAAGAGTTACTCCAAGTAAAACATGTACTTGTCATGTCATTTTGAGACATTAGATTTTCTACAGCTCTGTTGGATGAGAAGCACATGTATCAATCATGTTTGGCCTTTAAGTGGGTTTTAAGACTTCAAGATATTCCATTTTACATGATATTTATTACTAAAAGGTCATTAATTTAAAAATACAGAGTTCCCTATATTCTAATGAACCATCTTGTCTAAATCACAATTAATTATGATGATAAGTCTGTATTTAAAGAGACCTTATGTAAAAGAAGGCCCCATTTAAAAAAAAAGATACTGCCAATTATTGCATTTGTGAAATTTCGCTGTCTCGGTTACCAGTTGCATAACAAACCATGGGGTCTAAAACAGCGATGGTTTTCTGCCCAGGGTCCTGAGGCTCAGGTTTCAGGCAGAGCTCCGCAGAGACCCTGCTTCTCCGCGTGTCCTCTGGGGTCGCTCATGGGAGGGGACCTGCTGGGGGCTGGGCTGGGTGGGAAGGCCCGAGGTGGCCTCCCACGTCTGGGGTCTTGGTACCTGTTCTCGTCTTTAAGTTATCCTTCGGGGCCTCCCTCCCCAGCCAGTGGACCTGGATTTTTAACCTGGAGGCTGGGTCCCAAAAGAGCAAGAATGGATGCAGGAAAGTCTCTTAAGACCAAGACCCTAGAACTGGCACAGTGTCGGTTCTTCCACTTCCTATTGGTCAGATCAAGTCACGAGACTAGCCTGCAGCCCAGGTGGGTGAAGATAGAGGCTCCACCCCCTGAAGAGGGGAATGGCAGCGTGCACTGCAGAAGGATGAGGACCTAGGAAGGAGAGCTTCACTGGAGGCTGCTGTCAGAGAGTAATGGTGCACCACCACCTCCACAGAAACCAAAGTCTGGTTTCTCAAAGACCAGGCGGGCAGTGCAGGCCATTGGACCAACGGTGCATGCCGTACAGTGAAAATGTTACGTGAGGTGAACAGAGCACATCTTCAGCATGCACACGTGTGTTTAAATGTATCTTATTAACTATTGCGATAATCCTAAATCCTGGTGGCAATAATGTTATGCCTGATAATGACAAAACTAACTGGTCTGTAGCATCCTGTATAACACCTCCCACCTGCCCCACCTGGAAGCTCAGCGGAAGGCGTGCACTGGTTAACATCACTGGCTGTGAGTAGGGGGGAGTCTGGTCCTTCCTGCAGAGACAGGGAGACGAGAGTAATGGGTCTCAGGAGATGCTCCGTGCGCGGGGTTACCCCGAGCTCTGAGTGCAGTGCCGGAGATCCGGGACTTTCAGAGGGTGTTAGTGTCAGAGCACTGAGTCCTCTACATTTGCATTTGTCTCTTTGCCCTGCTTGAGTGTCCCTTTCGATTCACACGAAGAATCCTTTGGTACAGAGAAAACGCTGTGTAATATTGATACATGCGCGGCATCCAAGTGTCTAGACCCAGGTCAAGACACTGTCATTTGAAGTGACTTATTTAAAGAAGTGGATCCTGCTCTCAGTTACCAGTTAACCCGTTCATGGCCACCAGTTCACTGCAAACTGTTTCCACAGAAATGGCTTCCTTCTTTGACTGCAACCATGCCCGAAGTCACCGCTTTTACATGGAAAGCATCCTCAACCCTGATGCATTTATTGCTTATCCTTGTAGATCCTACGAGTCTTTTAAAGCCGTAAGTAAAGCGTTTTGCAGTGGGATTTAATTAGCAAGTCGTTTTTTGAGGCATGATCAGCCAACTAAAAATTAGGGCTTTGGGTTTGTGGTTTAAAAAAAAAAAAGGGCATCTGCCACTTCGGGAAATAGTAAATTCTGTCCTGAGCACAGAGCAGCGGCTGAGGATGCTGAAAGGCTTAAATAAGCAAACCGACGATTTGTATTCTGGTTGTTTCAGCTCTTTTGAACATTATATCCAATTTTTCTTTTTGGGCCATTTGTTATGCAGTAATTAGATGCTATGGTGTGACTGAAATAAGTCCAGGGCGAAAATTTTTCTATGTATATATTTTAAATGTCATCTTCCAAAATGCCCCAAGAAAGCTGAACCCATCAATAGCTGCAACCAAACACGTTACTATTCCCTTGGAACATTACAATTATTTTATATTAAAATTTAATTATTTATGGAGAGCAGCACTGAGGCACAGATAGCTCACAGGAGTTCCACACGGATCAATATGTGACAAAATACCAAATTTGATTTTACTTGAGTCATGAAGCCCGCGGTGCCAGCTCTGAGCTGAGCGTATTTTTCATTTGGTTATCGCTATGAAAACGAGAAGGAAAATCTATTTTGTGGTGGGAAGTGCAAAGACTTTCCCTCTTGTGTTCAGAGATCGCTCCCCAGTCAGGGTAGACAGACATCGGAGGGGCTCCATCGGAAGCTGATGGTAAGCAATGGTGCTTTGTGAGTAGGTGCGGGGCTGGGACGGGAATAAGCACTTCTCTCCCGTCCCAGGCTGTTGTCTCCGTTTCCTGAGCCAGCCGTCCCTACTCGGAAGGTGCCCTGGTGAACTTCTATTCTCAGAAAGCTTGACAGTCAAACACTGACAGGCCCCCTGTAACATCCTTTTCCCGCACCTCCCCCTTCGACCGCCCGGGTGCTGCTGCGAGTCACTGAGAGGTCCTGGCATTTACCATACAGGCGGGAGCAGACCTCGGGACTCACAGTATATTCAGAGAGAATTGGGGGTCCATCCGCCAGGTTGGAGAAGCTCAGGCTCCTGCTCCACGTGATGCAAGTTATGGTTACGCTCTTAGAGAACAGAGTCCATTTCCTTGGCGTGTTTTATGGTAGGTTCACCCAAAGAGTCATAAAAATAAAACAGAGCACAATAAAAGAATAAAATAAAATAAAGAAGGGTTCTAGCGTCAGGCTGCTCTGGTCCACATTGTAGTTTCATCGTTCACCAAATGTGCAGCACTGGGTGAGTTGTCGTCTAACTTCTCTGCACCGCAGTTCCCACACCTGTACCATGAGAGAGGGACTGAAAACACTAGAATAGTAAGGGACTTGGTGAGGATCAGTTGAGGTAAATGCACAGGAAGCGCTTAGAGCAGTGCCTGGCACATGGTGAGTGCCCAGGAAATGTGAGTCGTTATTGTTTTTGCTAGAATTTTCCTGCGTTACAAATGAAGGTTTGAATGGGGTGTCTGACTTTAGTTCTAGCCCAGATATACCGATAAATCTAAAAGTGCTAATACTCCAAAAGTACCACCCAAGATTTTTTAAAGTTAACATCTCATTAGTTTTGCTTCATATTTTAAAACATACAAATAAAATGAAGGAATTGAAGTTCCTTACGTTTCCCCACTACCTCCCCAAAAGCAGCATTTGATGTGAATCACATTTATATCAAATACATAGTATCATACTGTAAGTATCTTTCTGGATTTGCTTTTTTTGCTGTTAAATTTTATCAATTTGAAATTGCTATGTGTATAGATCTATACATTTATTTGGTAGGAATCAGCCACAATTTATTTATTCATTCCCCCACTAATGTGCATTGTGATGGTTTTCAGTTGTTTGTGATTAAAAGCAATTTGGCGACGGACACCTCTGCCTGTCTCCTTGTGTACCTGGGTGGAGTTTCTCGGTGATGTATACCAGTGATAGATGTGAGATTGTCAAAGCACGTGTGCATTTCCATCTTTACTAGACATCAGGGAGTGGCTGTCTGCGGTTTCCATGAATTGACATTCTCATCAGAAGCCAATGAGAATCCCCTACTCAGTGTCTTCACCGCTCCTTGCATTTGCCGGTGGCTGGAATTTTTGCAGATCTGCTGAGTATGAAATTGCATGTGGTTTTAATTAGCACATCCCTGACAGCGAGCAAGACGGAACGTCTTTTCACAGAGCATTGATGATCCACGTTTCCTTTTCTGTGTGGGATGTCTAGTCCCGTCGTTTCCCCATTTCTCTCATAGGCCATTTTTCTTTTTCTGTCAGTTTTTGTCTTTCTTTAAAAATATTTTATTTATTTATTTTTAGAGAGGAAAGGGAGGGAAATAGAGAGAGAGAGAAACATCAGTGTGCGGTTGCTAGGGTTCATGGCTTGCAACCCTAGGCATGTACCCTGGCTGGGAATCGAACCTGCGACACTTTGGTTCGCAGCCCGCACTCAATCCACAGTTTTTGTCTTATTTTGTTTTGTTTTTAAAACAAGCAGGAGAGCCTGTTGGGCAACTTAGTCATTTTTAAATGCCTATACTTTATTTAAATTCCAAAGATTTATTACTGTTTAATACTGTACCATAAGTTTATTGAAAGACATTTCGAATTGTGTTTGTGATTACATCTTGTTTTCTGTCACCAGGGAAATTGCTTCCATTGTCCCAAAGGAGGTTGCCCGACGATGGGCCATTTTGCTGATAGATTTCACCTCAAAAATAGGAAGCCTAATAGATCCTATTATTTTTTAAACACTGGGCCTCTTTCCCCATTTGCCCGTAAGTATTATAACTAAGTTTCCTTGTAATGCTTTAAGGTACTTATTTTTTAAATTTTGACAGTTTTTACTGAGGGCCTACTAAGTAAGTGGGCAGTGGGCCGGACTTGGAGGATGCAGAGAGGAACAATTGGGTAAGTTTGGGCTCATGAAGAAGAGGAAGCTGAAAAAAAAAACAACAAAAAAGTCTCAGCCTCAGTGAACCATGTGTTAGGAAATGAAGGAGGGACTTCCACAACCAGACCGAGGGGTGCCTCCTGAGAGCAGACGATTTCTGAACTGCCCCCTGAAAGACCACAGGCAGAGGGAGGGCAGGAAGCAATTGCCTGGAGGTCGAGAGAGCGGTGACCAGGAGTGGAGTCATATGAGATGCAGCCGAAGAGATAAATGGGTCCAATGGTGAATTCGTGCACCATGAGTCTGGGCTTCCTCTGGGCTCCTGGAAAACCACGGACGGGTATCGAGACTACCAGGTTGTTTTCTTTAGAAAAACCGCACTAGTTAGTAGCTGCATGGATTAGACGCGGCCACGGTGAGGCGGAGCGACCCATCAGAGCAGTGTCAGCTCCCCGCTATGTGCAGGGATGGATGTGTTGGCGAACGTCACTGTGGTCGCCGTTTCACCGTATCTGTAGTATGTCAAGTCATCATGTCATGCGCTTTAAAATTCCCCGATGTTACGTGTGCATTTTATCTCAACAAAGCTGGGAGAAGAAAGAGAAAAGCCGGTTGTTGCAGCAATCTGGGCGGAAAGGTAGAGAGACGCGGAGAGAGCACAGAGGTGGCTGAGAGGCGGCAGCAAAAACGAACTCGGTGAATGGGTGTGAGGGACGCAGGAGGCGGAGAAGTCAAGGTGGTCCTGGCTGAGCGGATGGCGGGCCAGTTTCTGAACTTGGTAACACAGGGACAGAGGCTGGTGTGGAGTACGTCGCTGGGGTCCGTCTCTGACGTGCTGGGTTTGACACGCCTTTACGACTGGCCCACTGGGCGGTGGGAGACTCGGGGCACAGTCACCCACATTTACGCAGAGTAGCCAGGGCTGTGAAAGTCAACGGTGTGGCCACGCAAGGAAGGTGTCTCCAGCTGAGAAGAGAGAGAGTGGAGAGAGAGACCCCCACAAAGGAGACGGAGGAACGGGCAGAGGGAGAAGCGGAGTGGGTGTGGGGCAGTAGTAGTGAGGAGCCAAGAAAAGAAAGAGGAGGGGGAAAAGGGGGTGCTGTCCTGCACCCAGTGTGCCGAAAGGTCAAAGGAGACAGGGGCCCGCAGGGGCTCATGGGATGAAGTGCACATTTCGCCACTGGTCAGCTCGGGGACAGTGGTGTCATTGGAGAAGGGACAGAGGGAGCCTCGTTGCTGTGGGACGGGCGGAGGAAGGAAAGAGAGCTCTTCGGCAATGAGTCACTCACGAACTGAAAGTTCTCTCTAGTAAGATTTTCCCCCTTTCTGATGTTTTTCAAACAATTTTATGAAGAATGCTTTTTTTTCAATGTGTTATGAAGCATGCACCAATTACAGAATTCAGAATGAAAAATCTGTTTAGCTGTACAAGTTTTAAAATGTTACACTTGACCATTTGGCAGGGATTTATCCTGCTGGCAGGTCTGTGCCGACCCAGACCTGTACCAACCCGGCATTCCTAGCGCGCCCCCTGCAGGAGAGGACGCGACAATTCGCTTCACCTCTAACGTGATTGTCCAGCACAGAGCTTCCTGCCCAGTGGGTTTTCTAGATCTTTTCTGGGTCCGTGGTCTAACTCTGGCCTATAAAAAACCTGGCGGTGGATGGGAGCACATAATGCAGAGTACAAAGGAAATGGACGGGAGAGGACACACAACTTCCATTTTAAAAAGTCCTCAAATGCCTGGACAATGGTACAATTTTCTTTGTGAAATACCATGAAACCGTTGACTTGTGGAAAATGGGAATGGGAACATTTATATGTATTTTTAAACATAGTTTTTCACCAAATTCACTCAAACTATTACACGTTGACTTTTTTTCCATGAACGCGAACAGCCTCGCTCCCCTCGAACGCTGAAAGTTACAAAGCTGCCTTTGCGTTCAAGTGCTCGGGCTGCCGTGCTTGTCATGCATTTTTAACCCTCCATGTTCCTTTCTTTCAAGGTTGGAGGCACAAACTGTCCGTCAGACTCAGCGGAAACAACGCCACGCAAGGGAGCGTATTTCTCCGTGTGAGAGGGACGGCTGGGAAGACGGAGGAGTTCGGGGTGGCCAGGTGGGCGACCAGCTCGTCTTCTCCTGTGAAAAACCACAATCTGTCACGTTGCCTCTGACTCGCCCTTTTGCTTCGTGATTTCTGGATATAAAATAGAAATGACAGTACCAGCTACACGCAGAAAATGTTAGGAAGTGATAACGTGAAAATACAGACCTAGATAATAAAGCAAGTAGGGAAAAGCTGACAGGCAAGTAAATCAGATGTATAGTTATCCTGGTATTCGGTCCTTTTAATATTATAAACTTTGGCATATGTTTTTATTTGTGTAGGTTTCAAATGACTTATAAAATCAATTTCCAAATTTCTAACAAGGTACGTCACTGGTACTTACAGATACAGGACGTAAGTTGGGACAGTCACAGGTACAAATCTCTCAGTAGAGACAGTCACCTGTGTATCTAGGGCTACAGTCCCCTTTATCTCGAGTTTCCTTTCATCCTTTCTTTGATCAGCCTTTAGGACTTTGTGTTACATATTCACTTTCATTATATAATTCTGTAATTCATTTTAGAATTAACATTACACACCAATTAGATGTTACCCTTTTGCAAACTGATGAACGGATCAAATGTTTTGCCTCTTTGATTTTCATCACCTTCAAAGAGTGGGCAGAGGTTTTGTGGTTATTTTCTCACGCGAGGGATGCCTCGGATCAGTCATTCTGGCGGAGTCTGCACGTTATCCTGCCTGCAAATGCGGGTTCGCAAGTGTCGTCTGGATCCTAGTCAACGCCCAGGCCCAGCGCAAATGTCTGGCCACGTCTGCTGTGCGTGGCTGCGTTCTCCTTCAGCTCACCCAGGCTTCCCTGACTGCACCGCCCAGCATTGAATAGATCCCCGAGATTTCTTCCCTGCCCGTCTTCATGTTTGCTGTTCCTTTGTTCCAAATACCCTTCCCTGGCTTAGCATCTCATTTCTACCTGTTCTCCATGTCTCTGTGAGCCCCCAACGCAATCGTGTGCCTGTGACTCTGAGGCCCAGGACACACTGGCCAAGGCTGTGTGGCTGGTTGGTGGCCTGCACAAAGGCACCTGGTCTGGGCCAGGTGGGGACGGATATGCAGTTCCTGCCCCCTTAGGGCTTGTGCGAGTGCTCCGGCACTTCTCCACTTCCGACGTGGGAAGGAGCTGTTTGTGATGTTGCTAGGTAGTCACCCAATCCTGCCCTGAGAATCATCAAGCATTTTGGGTTCACACTTAATGTTGACACATTAAGATGTTTCATCTTGAAATGAAGTCAGCTAAATGAACTGGTGTGCTAGCCGATGTGTAGTCTTCAGTCAAGCTTCCAGTCTGGACTTGAAACATGTAAGTGCCTACTGTGTGCCAGGAATTGTTCTGATTGCTGGGGATGTAGACACAGCCCCACTCACACGGAGCTTATGCCCCACCTAGAGCAGACAGGCAGTAGATGATCAGAGGAACAGGGAAGCAGCAGGAATGGGAGAGCTCGAATGTCATCTTGGACAAACTATGCCACACGCTGCAGATAACCCGCCTCTCTCCGCTCCAGTGCCATGCCCACCAAAACATCTTGATTCTCGATTCTTTTGGTAACGATAAAGAAGGTACCAGGGAAGGACTAGGAGAACATTCTGGTTAATAAAAGGAAGTATCTGTCCATTGCGAATCGATCAACAGTCATGTAGTAATGTATCAGTTTTGGGTGAATTCATCCATTACTGATGGTATCATCATTTCCTGGTGTCAATAAAACCTGGTTTCTGATGCTACCAAAGCTAAGACCCTATCCATCATCATGGAGAGGGTCTCCATAATGGTGGAGGGCCTCCACTATCCATCAAGCTAGTGCATCTCTAGGCCTCTCCCCAGAATCAACTAGTCAGGCTTCCTTCCCATTTGCCCCCTCTTCCCTCAAGCTTCGGAACCACACTGTTCTGAGAACACTGACCAATATGAATAGAAAGAATACATCTCTCCTCTGAGAAAACGCCAGCAAACGCAACTTTCTCTTCCACGGTACACATGCAGATGCCTCTCCCTTCAGCTTGGCGACTGCTCAGGACAAGATTATGAGTCTCACTTTCTGTTCACAGTGGAACACTTCAGCCAGGCGCAACTTACACGAAATTAATTGACGCAGATGTTAACGTCGGCAACGTTAGAAGCATTGAGTTCCTTTGGAAGGAACATTCATTTGGACGTTCTCAGAATAAGTTGGGAGCCGAAAGGGTGGTAGATAAATCTGGAAAATATGGATATGAGTAAGTATTAGTTTTCTCTTTGCATTTTCAAACACAGTTTAAGTTTTGGAAGTGGTATTTGAAACCCATATATACTTTGAAATTTGCAACCAGTATAGAACTGTACATGGTGAAATTTTGCAATGAAAGAAAAGAAACATCATCTAATCAATACTATATTTGCAAAAGTGTTTGCAAGACACTAATTACTCATTACTTGAAAGACCTACCAATGTCTCTCCCCTCTCCCCGGGATCATATGAATGTCCTTTCTTCCCCCTTTACATTTTCCAGATCTGCCTTCTGCGGCCAGGACATCCAGGGACCTATGGTTGCTCAGATCCTGAAACCATGCTGATCCCAGATACAGTCTTGATGGAGTTCTTTAATGGAAACATGAAAAATAACCGCCTTTTAGTTGATCATTGGACTCAACTCGGCCTTTGTAAATGAGATAGAATGGTACGGTTGTTTTTTTCTGCATAGAATATTTTTCTCAGTGATAAACTTTTATATGCGCCTTAAATATAGCCTGGACCCTAGGACAGAGGATGGGGCTGTGGCCCGTGGGGACCTGGAAGTCAGGGACGACACGGGGCGGTGCCGAAAGTTCCCGGAATGGGGGGGGGGGGGGCGGGGCGATGCTGCAGTGTTGTGAACCCCCTGGGCAGAAGGGGGGCTCCCTGGTGGAGTGGAGCCGGTTTTGAGTATTTTCAGGTAGAATAATCATTGTTCTAAAATGATTTAAAGAATATTTATTATGTTTTTAAACCTTGCATGGCAAATTATGACTAGAGTTCATGATACATAGACTATAACCCTGTGGGTTGATAATGTGTACCTATTAATGATGAAACCTAATGGGAGTACGTTAGTACTTCCAAGGTTTTCCTTGGTCTTTGGGGTATATGTGGGGTAGGACAGGTTTTGGAGTTTATCTTCAGTGTGTGCCTCAGCTGGCGATGGGCCTGAGGATCCTCAGCCCCTTCTAGAACCCTCCGGAGGCAGAAGTACTCAGCTCCCTGGGCCTTGGAGGCCGAGATACAAATTATTTAGCCTGAAGGCAGCATTCCCTTGTAAAGCACTTGTCTAACCCTCTGTGTCTGTAGTAACAATATTGTTATGTTTAAATGTGTCCATTGTGTTTTTTTCTTTTATTGTGCTTCAGTTTCTTCTAATTCAGTTGTCCTTATCCAACAAAGCAGAACCCAAGGCGTGGAAACAGGGGACAGACTGAAAGTGACCAGAGAGGAAGGGGGAGGGGACAATGGTGGAAAGAAGGGGCAGGGACTAGACAAAGAACATGTGCAAATGACCCACGGACTCGGACAACGTTGTGGGAATGGACTGTGGGAGTGTGGGGTGGGGTGGGGTGGGCAGATGAGGGCAGAGGGGGAAAAACTGGGACAACTGTAATAGAATGACAATAAAAGTGATTTAATTTTAAAAAAAGAAACAAAAGGTGACTATGGTATTACTCTGCTTTCTGTCACCGGGCTCGGCGCTCAGCTCACAGCTCTATGCTGTGAACACTGTTGAGAAGGAGTGCCCTGGCTGGTATAGCTCAGTGGATTGAGTGTGGGCCTGCAAACCACAGGGTTGCTGGTTTGATTCCCCGTCAGGGCACATGCTGGGGTTGCAGGCCACGCCCCCAGTTGGGGGCACGGGAGGAGCAACCGCACATTGACGTTTCTCTCCTTCCCTTTCTCCTTCACCTCCCCTCTCTCTAAAAAATAAATAAATAAAATCTTTTTAAAAAAGGAAGTGTTGACAGATACTCTGCAGAGAGTTTCTTGGTTCTCCTTGGTGCCTCGCTGTCAACCAGACCTTAGGAAGAAACCCACGGGTGGACATCAGCTTGAGCTGTGGCAGGGAGCAGAGAACCAGAACCAAGTGGGTGGCTCTTCACCACTGGGCAAGAAGGAGACAGAAGGCTGATGGGTGGAAGGAGGAAACAAGATGGGACTCATTGGGCATGACCTGGCTGAGCGTCCCTCCCGGATGGACACATCAGCCTGGGGCCTAGGCCAGCCAGGACCAGGCGGCCATGAGCACCCCCACTGGGCGGGTCTGAGCCCTGCTCTGCAGCAGCCCTGCACCCTAGCAGGCGGGAGCTGGTTCCCACAGGGACAGGGCAGGGCGAATCCTACCGTGAGAGCAGCTGACCTGGGCCTGCACCGCCCTCTGCTGGCCCAGTCCTCCTGGGGGGGAGGGCTCACCACCAGGAGGAAGAGTTATGAGTCAGGATGCGGCATTAGGCTCTGTGAGTCCTGGCCAGCCTCCTTGCCCAGAAGGCCTCTTTGGCAACTCTTTCTAAGCTTGAAAAGATAACTGAGAGCCAATTTCTGGGAACCCTATTTTAATAAAATATGGACTTTCTGACCCATAGTTCTTAATATCCCTCCCCTCCTTTGCATTATAAGAATGCTGTGCAGATGGCAGATAGTGCGTGGGCTATCTAGGCCAAGGGCCTCTGGAAGCTCAGGGGGAGGACACTGTTATCTGTGTGCACTGGGGCCCAGGGCAGCTCTAGAGACGACGCTCCGCTTCCTGTCTGAGCGCCCTGTGCTGTTGCAGCTCCGTGCCTGGGGCCTGCGGATGTCTGGGAGAGGTCTGACAGGAAGTCCTTCTGCTTCTTGAATGAACTGCCATTAATGCCGAAAAGTGGCTTCCAATCCAATTACCCATTTACAATACTTCCTCCACTCCCCATCACCACTGATTCTCACTCATGCCTTGTCATCGCATCACCCAGCACGCCCACCTCCAAACTTGCTAATTGAACGGCCCCCTCTCCGACCAGAACAGGCCCCCCTTTAGGCTCACGAGGTGACATTCTCAGACCTCTTTGTGACTTCTGACCACTTACCCTTCTATGTTCTTGAAATCCACCGACCCATTATTTCCTTCTACAGCCAGCTGAGGTTGCGTGATTACTTAGTTCGGTAACAATGCCTCCCAATGCCCCAAACTCCCTAGCTTCTTTTTTCCCTCCCGTCAGGCAAAACCTCCTACTGAACGCACCCAGTGTTTCTCTTTCTCTCTGACCCAGTGCCCAAATAGTTGAGTGCTGTGGGGCCAGTCACATCAAAGGGGGCATATACATACATGACTGTAACTCAATCAACAAATTAATCAACAACACTGTCCTGAAACTCCGCCTGTTTTGTGTTTTTTTTTTTGTTTTTGAATTTTGGTTTTTATATGCTTCCTATCCCAAATCTCCTCCTACTTTGTACCGAAGACAGAGGTCATCGAGAGAGCAAATCTCTCCTCTTTTTGATCCAAATATACCAAGTACCTACACCTGCTTCTACTCTGTCTTTTTCCCTTCTGCTAGCGCAGCTTCCCACTTGCCTCTCCAAGGCCAGTGCCTGCCTGTCCATTCTCACCCTTTCCTCCGTTCTGGGGACCCTTATCCTATTGGCTACATTTTCTTCCTTTTGTATATTCAGGCTCTCCTTGCATCCAGTTTTAAAAAGTCTAAGGCTCTTCCTCTGGGAGAAAAGTCACTGTCAGCCCTACTCTCCCCTCTCCTTCGGTCTGACCTCAGAACCACTCTCACCGGGATTTCCTGTAAATGCCAACCACTAAGCCGAAAAGAACATTTTTACCACTTATTCCGTCCCTCAATAGAATTCAACGCTGTCAAGTTCTTCCTGCTTCTTTCTTTTCAAAATTAAGACATTTTTTCTTTTTGCTTTTTCCTGTAGACACTTTAAAATATTCTCAGCAGCAAGGAATACCTGTCAGAGAGTTTAACGATGTTGATATTTTGCCAATTCTATTTGATGAGAGCCTAGGAACACACACACGTCTGTTTCGTTTTGTTCGTTTGTTTTTGCTGGCGTACTTCAAAGCAAAGCCTAGACATAATACTATTTCTCTGGTTTACATACTTCAGTGTGGAGTTCTAAATCACAACTTTAACACAACAAAATACCCATTTATAAAAATTAACCATAATCATGTTTAAACGAATTCAAGGTTAAGTTAAAAAATTAACAACAACGTCTTAATATCATCTATTCAGATTGTATTTAAATTTCCCAAATCGTCTGGCAAATGTCCTTTGGCAGTTGAGTTTGTGCAACCTGGAACCCAAGCAAGATCCGCACATTGCCTCCGATGGCCTGGTCCCTGAGCCTCTGTTCATTCACAACAGCCCCCCCTCCCCTTTCCACCCCATATCGTTGGATAGACCAGGCCATCCGTCCTGTAGCATTTCTCACGCTGAACTGTGGGGGCCCCTCGCAGCACCTCGCACTCTCCTCTACCCCGCGTGTTTCCTGTGACCTAGCACACGGGTGGAGGGATTGAGGAGCCGCAGGGTCCTCTCCGCTGAATGCCCATCTGCCCGCTGGCCTGCGGGATGGGCGGTTCCCCCACCTGCCTCACAGCTCTCAAGTTCACCGCTCACCTGCCTTTTTTTAATGTCGAGGATCATGCAGGCAGTCACACTTTGTAAATCTGAAAGGGCTGTGCCAATTAGAGCTGTAGGTAAAATAGAACATTGGATCGTTTGGCATGTGGTTGTTAAATGGCAGGGGGAGAGGAGAAGGGTGCCCGTAGGAAGGTTTCCTGGGGTTTCTGCTCCGAAGGGACTGCAGGAGGGGCACGTGGTTGGTTGCTAAAGATCCGATCACAGAAGAGGCCCCGAGCTCAGTGCTAGGCCTGGAGCTGGAGGAGGTGGGTGGTCAGTGCTCTGGTGGAAGCTCAGGCAAATGCAGATGCCCGGTTGAATTGTGTGACTACTTCCCCAGGCTCCCCCGCTCCGAGTGGACAATGGAAATGACCCTGGTTCATAGAGCGCTCGGGCTCTGCTGTCTCTGCGCTCCCCAGAACAAGCCTCAGGAACAGCGGCATGATGTCTGCCTAGCTGTGGTCTCCCAGCCTCTTAAAACCTGCGCTCATGTTAGATAGACATACAAGTCTCCTGTCCCTCCTGGGGTTTTACTGCCCCACCTGGGAGAATCAGTCTTTTTAAAGTACCCTCTGACCAGAAAGAGTTTGTAAATCTTTACTTTCTGTGGATTGTTCTAATAAAAGTGATAGGTGTGTTTTATTATCTTCTCCCCAAATACATACTGATATTGTAATACCAGATGGGCTTTTTAAAAAGTTTTGTGTGTCCTGGCTGGTCTAGCTCAGTGGATTGAGCGCGGGCTGTGAACCAAAGCATCGCAGGTTCGATTCCCAGTCAGGTCACATGCCTGGGTTGCAGGCCACAGCCCCCAGCAACCGCACATTGATGTTTCTCTCTCTCTCTCTCTTTTTCCCTCCCTTCCCTCTCTGAAAATAAATAAATAAAATCTTTTAAAAAAGTTTTACGCATGCTTCTCTAGGAATTCTGCTCTAAGTGATTTGAGTCCTCGTAGAGTCTCCCTATCAGCTTTATTCCACTACAAGAGGCAAATGTTTTATTTTTTATATAATCTATTTCCTGTGTTTCAGTTTTGCAAATGTTTAGCCTTTACATAGTCATGTATTTTTCTTTTATTTTTATATGCTTTTCATCCATTCATTCAACAATTATTTACTGAGTTTTCC